TTTTCCTTCGGGATACAATGGTTTTACTGCTATTAATAACAGATGTGGCAAGGCAATTACAGACTCAAGATAGGTAATCACATCTTGCAGTTTAAAGCTTAATCTGATCACCTCTGGGGTCAAGGAATTATAAAATTATCACAATGGTTAAACTCTGTCTTGTGCCACCATTTGTGGACTAAAGTTCAAGCCTTAGAGGTCTGAAATGTAGTTTATCTTTGTTCTGCTGTGTTTTTGTGTGTGCATGTGCAGGTGTGTGTGTGTGTGTGAGAGAGAGAGAGAGAGAGAGAGAGAGATTTTTTGTACATGTATAAGCTACTCCAGAGCTCAGTCTTGTGGGGAGCCCTGTTACCCTGGCTCCCACTCAACTTTACCTGCTAAGGTTTCTTTTGGAAAAAAAAATGAGAAGTTGAGAGGCCTCAATTCTGCTCTTCAGCTCTGCTACAATTCCCTTTGCAATTCTGAGGATTTTACTTATGTGTGGAATTAGGGCAATCTCACAATATTTACTTATGCGTCCCCTTGGGAAAACTGAGAGCTCCCTAAGGCAGAAAGTCTTCTAGCAATCATTGAACTCAATAAACACCAAACAAATGAATGAATGACTGAGTTTCCTTCCAGTTACAACATAGCATGATTCCATAAAATCATGATCTAGTGCATTGAGTTGATTCCGAGGCATGCAGCAGATAACACTGGCTGTCAACTTTCTTCGTATTTTTCTCTGCCCACTACTGAGACACTCTCGTACTCTCGTAAGCATTTCCACCAGCATGTAAGTAGTATGTACGAAAGGAGATGATTTGAGATTTGCCAAGTTTTCCTCTTCGCTAGCAGTATTAGAAATGGTTTGGATAAGGAGAAAGTATTCATTTGTAGTTGGTGATCTGCTGGTTTTTATTTACACAGGGTGTACCTATCAACCACTTCCCGTCCATCATTAAGATGTGGCCACCCACAGCACCTGTCACCAAGGCCTCTATACTCAGTTCCCCTTGGTGAGATAAATTGAAGAGAAGCCACTGGCTAACAACATCTGAAGGCTTCAAGTGACATGACAATCTTTCCAGATCTGGAAGGGGAAATGACAAAGGAGGACATTCTGGTTTTTCGTTTATTTTTACATGCGTGAGTCACACTTCTTGGTTGTAAACAACACAAACTCCGGCCAATGGAAGCAGAAGAAGAATTTATCGTTAAGGATTGCAGGTACACAGAATAAAAAGAACACCAAGACTGGTTCCACCACCACAACTGCTAACACTGCCTGCCTCTAGGGACCGGCCACCACCATGAAGTTTAACTTGTCCCTTTGTCTTTGTATCACTTGATCAAGATTCAAAGTTCCAAACGCGAGAATGTGACTGGACAAGTTGGGTCACAAGCCACAGTCCTAGGTGTCTGGCCCCCTGTGCTCCAGGGTGGGAGAGAAGGTCCCAAGGAAACGCTCACACAGGAAGGAAGTTTGCATGCTGGACTGACACAGAAAAGTGACAAGTGTCTACTTCATCACAGTTCAATAGCATAGCATCTGCATGCTCTGACAATACATCATTTATAAACATGGGTAAAACCCAGTCTCTGCAGTCACAAACCCAGTGCCACAAGTGGGACACACTTACAATTAATGTACATAGGCTTTTTAGGAATTTTTGCTCTGAAGGCTGAAAAAAATTACCAGCCAAAATGAAATTTTAACAGTTAGCAGTTTTCTGGCACTTTACCCGTGGCAATTCTAGAAGTTGTGGCTGAGCACTACATGCTACTGGCATGTCACGAAATTCCTGTGCCAGCTAGGATTAAGCCAGGGGACCTTTCAACTCTGGATCCAGTTTCCATGCCCCTCCAAACCCTCAAAAGAGCAAGACAACTCCAGGCTTCACTCTTCCTAGTCTGGTGGTGACTCTGGAACTCCAGGGACACAGCTTTGGCCCTTGGCCCCAGCCCCCTGTGGCAGGGTTTGGAGGCTGAGTGGAGGAAGGGACGGTCAGTGCTGGAAAATCACACTCAGGCAGTAAAGCCCTCCAGACAGTCAACAGACCGAGACTGGCCTGACTCGAGGACAAAAGCAGGGGCGGTCTCAGCAGGAGCTCTACTCATCCAAAAACAGCGAGTACCTCCAACCAAAGACATAAAAGTTGCAGTAATTTCGCTTCCAGGAATCTAATTGCACAGTGCTGTGATGTAGAAATAAAGTGTTTTCCTTACGCTCAGACAGCAAACACAACACTTCTGACACCAGACGTATGGGGGTTGTTTTCCCACACGCCAAGCGATTCTGCAGTGGATACCAGCTGGGTGTCCTAATTCAGTTCAGTTCCGACACTATCCACCTGGAGATAGGACAGGTTCAGGGTTCAGTCCCACTGGACCGCCCCGCTTCAGATGCCAATCACAAGTAGCAGGTGGTGACCTATACCTCTGACCCACTGGCTGTAAATTGAGGTTCCCACAAACCCCATCTTGGTTGGACTGATTTGCTAGAGCGGCTCACAGAATGCAGGGAAAAAAACACTTTACTTTTGTTTATTCATTTATAATTAAAGGATGTTACAACGATATAGATGAATAACCACATAGAAGAGATGCACAGGGCAAGATATGTGGGACGGGGTGCAGAGCATCCACGCCTCCTCTGGGTCTGCCACCCTCCAGGAACCACGTGATCAACCATCCAGAAGCTCCCCTGACCCAGCCCTTTTGGGCTTTTATAGAGGTTTTGTCATGTAGGCATGACCTATGAAACCATCAGCCACTGGGGTCCATTCAACCTTCAGCTCCTCTCTCCTTCCTTGAGGTGGGGATTGGGGCACAAAGTCCCAACTCTCTAATCATGCCCTGGTCTTTCTGGTGACCCCAAGGGAAGCTATCTAGGGTCCCCCCCCACCACCACCACCAATCATCTCATTAGCATACAAAAGACAGTTTCATCACTGTGGTGATTCCAAGGATTTTAGGACCTTTGTGCTAGGGAGCAGGGACTCTGACCAAATATATATTTCACAATATCACACACAGATGTGCCTGCACAAGTACATAAATGCATAGGGATATTCACTAAAGCATAGTTGGTAATCAAAAAAATTGGAACTAACCATCCACTAATAGTTCAATATATTACTGTGTAATCATATGATGGGACAGAAATGCAACTACAAAAAAGAAAGAGGTAGGATATGAGAGCTATGATAATATTGTCAATAAATTGAGAAGAGCAAGTGGCAGAACACTTGGTATAGCATTATTCCTTTTTTTTTTTTGGAAAGGAATATACAAATACTCTTCTATATGTATAGAAAAATATTGGAAGGGCAACCTAGAACCATGGGAATTTTGAAGAGAGGGAGGAGACAAGGAAAGGGAGACCTTTACTTTTTACTGTATGTCCTATTTCTGTTTGACTATTTACTGTGAGTATGCAGTCTGTTTATAATGAAAACAAATGAATTAAAAATGCTGTAAAAGTGAAGGATAGCAGGAAAAAGGAGTAAAATTGGTCAGAAGGAAGTAGGACTTAAGGGTCAAGAAAGAATTTTTTCCCAAACAAGACATCTTGCCGGAGGCTGTGGGAAGGCAGGCTTCTCTCAGTGAAGAACATTTGTCCCCTAGAAGGTGTAGAGGGGAAACCATCTGTCTCCACCTTTTCCTTAATGTCCCTCAGAGCCAAGCCTCCACTCGACCCTGGTGAGAATCTGCCTCTGCCTCCTGCCCAGGCATTTGTTAGAGGAACCTTCTGGCCTCATGCCACAGCCAGGCTCAGCAGGTGTCACTGAGGTAGGAATGCCCCCAGTGCTGAAAAGCCAGCAGTTATTAAAAGCATGAAACTAGAGTTGGGCAGACCTGATTTGTAGTCCTGAGATCATGGTGGTGATGTTGGTGCTAATGGTTAAGAGGCCAATAGAAGCTTGATTCAAACTGAACGGACTGGTAGAGTAGAAAAAGGAATGATCTGATGATACTAATGATCTTCGGTAATTCTGTCTGGGTGACACCAAGCAGCCCCCACAACAGCTTGTATTGAAGCTTCAATGAAAAGAAGTGTACGTGGGAGTCGGGAGGGACCAGCTTCTAGAAGAGTCTGTAACTTGCCATGGACATGGGGGATTTTACCCACACAAAACGCTATAGAAACCTGGCCACTCACAGCTGCAAGAGAAGGGCTGGAGGCGCACCAGCCAGAGCTGGGGGACAAAGGCCGCAGAGCTTCTTCCCCACACCAGGGGCGCTAGCGCCTGCATCCACTGACACCCTGGATCGCCGCTTCCCACGGCCCCAAATCCTCACGGTCGAGCTCCCCCTTTTCTTCTGCTCCACTCTTCTGAGCTTCTAACAGCCAAGGCCAATGTGTTCACCACGTGGAAAAGTGAGGAACTGAACCCTTTCCTGCACCGCACCTGCCACTAAGGCAACCTAAAGAGCTGTCATACCAGCGTATGGAAGGCTACAGGAAAATGCCCACTTCAGCCCCGGAGTCCACACTCAGACTCCTAGGGACAAGGGTGGCTGGAGAGAGGTCCAAGCTGCCCTGGGCGGGTGGGGAGTCAAGGCTGGTCACGGCTTTGGCTTTCGGTAGTGATCACCAAATCCGATCTGGGCTGCAGGCCCAAGATCTCTTCACCCTTCCCGCATGTTCCGCTCAGACGTGTTGTTGGCCCAACTTCCAGTGTAACCCCCACAACTACCAAGGCAAGAATGCCTGTTCCAACTCCATCCTCACACCCCACCCCATCCCACGGGGGATCCTGCTTCGAGTCTCCTCTCGGCATCTTACAAGGCAGCCCTCGTGCAGCCCTCACGAAAGGTCCCGCAGTGGGGTGCCCTAGCCTGGGGCCTTGCCCAGACCCCTTCTCTAAAAGGAGGCGCCTTGAGAGTGTCTGGTCCGGTCCGACTTGTCTCTTGGGGCCAGACCTGGTCCGGGGGCGGCAGTGAGGGAGGCCGGGCGGCCAGGCCTGGAGCCTGGGCCGGGCCTGGCTGGGCCCCGCGCCCTCGGGCCCGGCGCGGCCGCGCCCCCGCCCCCCACGCGCTCACAAACACCGGGCCGCCCGAACCCTCCGCCCCGCCGCGTTCTGCCGCCGCCCGCCCGCCGCGACTCGCGGGGCCGCCCCAGCGGCTCGGCGCGCTGCGCTCCGGCCGGTCGGTGCGGGAGGACGCGCGGCCGCGCCTGCCTCGGTGGCCGCGCTGGGTAGGTAGCTGGGGGGACCGGAAGGATGGCGAGGAAGTCGGAGAGGGTTTCCTGAGATGAGAGATTACTTCCGTCCGGGCGCTGGCCTCTTTCTGGAGCCGGCTCGCGGGGGTCGGGGAGCGGGGTGCGCGGGGTTCGCGGCCGCGCCGTGCCACCTGCAGCGCCCGGGGCGGGCCGCGGGCCCTCGGCGGGGGCTAACGCGGGGGATCCTTACAGGTGGGAGCATTTCGGAGCGCCCAAGCCATGGTGGCCAAACAGCGGATCCGGATGGCTAATGAGAAGCACAGCAAAAACATCACCCAGAGGGGGAACGTAGCCAAAACCCTGGTAAGGCGGGGGCGGCGCCGGCCGGGCCGAGCGGGCAGCGCCGGGCGGGGGCGGGGCCGGGCGAGCGGGCCGCGTTGCAGGGACAGCCTCCCCTCCCCTCCCTCCCCTCCCTCCCCTCCCCTCCCCGCCCTGCTCCGCTCCGGGCGCCCGGCCCGCCCCCCGGGGCCTGCGGAGTGGGGGCCGAGAGCCGGCCCAGGGCGGCGCGGGCTTCTGGGCGCCCTCGTGGGCGGAGAGGGCGCTGGTTGGTCGCGGCCCCTCTGGGAGTGGCTGCCTGGACTACCGTGGAGGCGTGCAGGAGCCCCCCACCCCCCACCACAGGAGCGAATCCAGCCTTCTTGGTCCCTAGGAAAGACATCCTCAGGGGCCAATTAAGCCAACTGCGTGGCACAGGGCCTGGAACCTAATAGGTGCTAGGACGTTTGCTGAAAGAATGAATGAATGAATGGGTAAATGGAGACCACTTGTTATCTCCCCCTCGCTGACTCCACCCCTGTCCTCCCTCCCACACCACGCTTAGGTTTTCTTTCCAGCCCCTTTGTGATGATCTCCCTGGAGATGTTGAAAGGGCTCAAAGTGGGGAGTGGGAATCGGAGCCCATTCCCCTTTTTCCTCTTCTTTTCCAGTGAGGCCTTCTGCTGCCCCTGGGCTAAATCTAAGTGCAACGTTACTCTTCCCCCCATCCTGTGAGCTCAGGCTCATTCTGACGGTATTACTTTAGAGACCAGTTTGTTGCCAAGCGATCTGTGCCCCAGAACCGTAGATTAAAGCTTTACAAACTGGACTTTTAGGTAAAACCTGTGCCTATGCGCAGGGGTTTCTTTTAGCAAAAGCAGATTCTCTTCAACAAAAAATGCGAGGCCTGAGACTTTGGACATTCAAAGGCATGAGCTGGTTGGATGGGTTGTTGGGCAGAGTCAGCCTCCAAGTCTGTGAGCATAGGCGCCTGGGATCTATTATCCCATACAGTTAAGTGGAAATCCAGCTGAAGCTTGGGGTTTGGCTGAAAAAGCTTGCAGATTTGATCAAGCAATTCTTTGTAGCCAAAGAAATTATAATGGTTTGATTAACTGAGCAAAAAGCTGGATCTGTAATCATCATAGTGGAATTCTTGCAAAAACCAACCAGTATTATGGCAGAGAAACCTTAAGATCAAACTCAGCTCTATTCAGAGCTACATATACAGCTCCAGGCTTAAGTGATCCTTAAACTTCTCTCATTTAGCAATTAGGTCATTTAGTTCTTATAAGGCAGGAAAATGCCAATGTGCCATCAAATTGGAACCATTTTTTCATGTAGAACTATGTTTTCCCTATTTAGTTTTACCCAGGAAAAAAAAAATTGCTGCCCAAATTGACATTGAAAAACAATTTATAATGGTTGTTAAGGCACCCAGGTTTTTATATCCCTAGGAGATCAATTCTTCTTTCTCAAGGTATCAGACCTACTAGCTGACATAGTGAAAATGTCTAGTCGTGTGGGTCCTCTTAATGAACTAAAGAACCTGAGTTCAGTTGTCAGATCTCAGTTGACAACTTATCTAACTGCAAAAGTAACAGGAAAACAAGAGCTAATTTTCAGGCTGTTTTATCCATTAGGCTCCGTAGACTCAGTGTCTGCCACCTCTAGCTTTGCAAGACCACTAGAAAATATTTGGGACCTAAAACAAAAAGTATTGGCTCCAAAATAAGAAAAGAAAATGGAAAAAATTGGAAAACACTTTTTAAATATTTAGAAAATGTAACTAGTCACCTGCTATTCCAGTCAACTCAAATTTCGGAGCTATGTTTAAATTATATTTAATGTGCAGTATGAGTACACTTTAATAGGTTTTGATACACTATGAGGTGGGCCTTCCAAAAGTGCCTGGCGCCTATGAGGGTTTTTAAATGGCCCAACTGAATTTGTAATGAAAGGTTTCCAAATTAAGCCACAATAAATGTTTGCTTTGAATTGGTTGGAGGGGTTTTTGGTTAACTTTATTGTAAATGAATCAGAATCCAAAAAGAAAAATGAAATTCTCTTTCAAAAAGAAACTCTTTAAATTCTAAATCTAATTTTCCCAGTTGTAAGTCAAACATGATTATACTTTGATAGAAGTAACTTGCAAAAGATCACTTATTCAGGATGAAATTCAGTAAATGGAAACATATGTATAGATTCCAACTGAAAATTCAGACTAATGGTCCTTTAATTGTATGCAGATGCTTCAGTATTTCATTATTAGCTAACAACTTAAGGGTAAATCAATATTATTTTCCCAGATAGCATGTTAATCCAAGAAACAGAGAAATGGAATAATCATTTTGTGATTATACAGTAGTAACTTCTCCAGAATGAAGGGGAAACTTACATTTCAGAGTTCCGAGTTACCCTGCTGGTATCTTACCACAGGGAAAACAATTCCCTGACATTTTGGAGCCTCAGAAAGCGGCAAACTCATGTTTGAAGTAAACTATGTTGTTTGCAGAATTGCTACTGCTTTACTTACCTTTCTCAGCAATAGAATCAAGTCTATGTGAATCGTTCCAGTGGGATTGTGCTGGGCACTCTTTCCAAAAAATGTAACCCAAAGCTGTCAAAAAAGGACATGTTGGTATTATGATCAGCCCAAGTCCCCAAATAATGTTGATTCACTGGAGAATGTCATTCAAAAGCCTTTTGTGTTATATACTCCAAGCTCTGTGTGCTGACAATCTGTTTTTCTGAAAATGAAAAAATAAAGGACTCCATTTGGTATCTGTACTAGGCCAATAATTCATTTATAGGTTTCTGAACTCACTTGTTGGCTTTGGTGAAAACTGAGCTAAAATGAATTTTTTATATGGCATTAATGGGACCACGGCAACAGAATTGGTTTCTGGGCAAGAATGACAAGTTGTTAGGAAGTAGGTGGTGGAAGCAGGTGGGAAGGGTAAATGTCACACTTTGCTCAGGTAACTTTATTTAATATCTGTTATTTACTTGATCTGAACTTGGCCTGACACAGTTATCTTATGTAATTATTTAAGATTGATTTTGTCCTTGTCTGGCCAAGAGCAGCCACTGATTCCCTTACAGTGGGACCAGCCGGCATTTAAGTGGTGGTAGATAAAAGCTTGTCAAGGACAGAGAAGTGAATGGTTTTAATCCTTACTCAAAGTCTACCTGCCATTGACACTTTAATCCATTCTTTTCTAGTAAGAGAAATGCTCATAACCCTACACCAATTAGGAAATATTAATAAAAAGACAACATCCTTCCTAGACCCTGTGTTTACTCTACCTGACCTTAAAAATCATATTTAATGGAACTTGTATGATTATTTGTTGTTCAATGAACATTTATTATCTCCTATATTTAAGTTTTGTGCCAGGCATTTCTATACATTGATTACATGAATGAGACATAGTCCCTACCCTTGTGGGGTCTGCAGTCTCATGGAGAGACAGATATCAAACACATTATCACAGGAATAAATATAGACCTACACACTGTGACAAATGCTATCAAGAAAAAGTACATGGCCATACAAGTGACAAGTGAACCCAAGTGAGGTCAAAAGGGGAAAGCTCTCTAAGAATGTAACAGGTAAGCTGAGAACTAAAGAATTTTGTTGACTTATCTATAATGGAATAAGAGGTTTTTTAGGCGAAAAGCCAATTTTTATTTACATGAGCCTAGAACTTAACTTGATTTTATATACAAATGCAACACATCATAGGTTTTGCAGTTTTAATGTATGATACATTTTACAGGAAAGCAACTGCAATGAAAATCCAAGGAAGATTGTACTATTTTATTGTTAGAAACTTTATTAAAACTTGCTCAACATTTCAGAAAATTATATCCTTGATGACAGTACCACTCTTTTTCTGGCTTTTTATTCATTTATTTTATTTTTAAAGACAGAGTCTTACTCTGTCACCCAGGCTGAAGTGCAGTGCACTGCAGCCTCAAACTCCTGGGCTCTAGGGATCCTTCTGAGTAGCTGGGACTACAGATACACGCCACCACACTCAGCTTTTTTTTTTTTTTTTTTTTTTTTTTAGTAGAGACAGGGTCTTGCTCTTGCTCATAGGCTGATCTCGAACTCCTGACCTCAAGTGAGCCTCCCACCTTGGCTTCCCAAAGTGCTGGGATTATAGGTGTGAGCCACCACACCTGTCCACCACTCATTTTTTTGAAACACTAATATTATATACCTTCCGTCTGAATGTGTAGCTGTCATATGCATTTGGATATGAACATACTTTTTTTAGCCCATATTTTATAATGTCAAAAGTAATTTTAAAATGTCAACAACATTTAATTGAAATCTGAAATCAGGTTTTACAATTTCAACCACAAATAAACATCTGTCAGTATGGCTACTCTACCAACATGTTTTCCTTTTTGTGTGTATGTGAAAGCTCCTTAAATTATATTGAATACACACTGGTTTTTGCTCAAGCTCATGAGAAAATAATTAGTGAGTCCTTTGCTTTTTTTTCACTCTCTTTGTCCTCCCTTTTTATTTGAGAAATTCACTGGTTTTTTTATACATCTCTCAGAAAGTATTTGTTGTTGCATTGGTTGGTTTGGTTTTAAAAGGTCCAACCCCTACCTGCAAATAGACCTAGAGGTGTCGTGGTGGGTCATTCTTATTATGGCTGTGCTTTTGGTTTGAGAAGAGCAGGAGGTATGTAGGGCTGCATTTGTGCAGGTTCACCGGTGCTCTTCTGCTTCCCAGAGAATGCAGAGACTTCTCCCAAGTGCAAGCTTCATCAGAACTTTTTTGCAAATTCTGCTCTACTCATATCCATTCATGGGTGCTGTGGTGCTTCTGTTGTTCCAAGGATTTCCATTTTACTCACTTCCTAATTATTTTGGTATATAGAAGATTCTGAGAAAATGTCTGTGCTCCTCTGATCCTGCTTGGAATTCACAGATGCAGGAATTAAACAGGAATCTACTCACGGAAAACTACCCAGGCTCTGCAAAAAAGCAGATCTAAATTTGAATCCCAGCTCTTGCTCAAGTTAACAAACTTTGAGCCTCAGTTTCTCAACTCCAAAATAGAAATGAGAATACTTGCCTTGCACAGAGTCGTGCATGCTGGAAATAATGGTTGTAGACTGCCTAGTCTAGTGCCTGACATAGAGCATGCGTTCAACAAATGGAAGCCATCATTACTGTCATTTGGCTCCAAAATCACTATATTGGTTTATGTCTTTATACTCTATCTGTCTCCCGAATATTTAAGAACACCAAGTTCATTCAGTTACAGAGGCATTAATAAAGTTATAAGGTTATTGATGGATTTTCACAAACCTATGTCAATTCTTTATAATTGACTTTATTTGTCTCTGTCTGCCCACTGAGGGTTGAGGACAAGTCTGTCTCATTCTCGAATCCCCAGTACCATGCACGATGCCTGTAGTACTGAACCAATGTTTATTGAATCAATGAACCTAATCTTACTTTTCCCATTCCCTTTTAGAGGCCACAAGAAGAGAAATATCCTGTAGGACCATGGCTGTTGGCACTGTTTGTTTTTGTTGTCTGTGGCTCAGGTATGGGTGTTTCACTAAACTTATATCCCATGTTCTCCACTGTACTTCCAAAAACACACGTCTTGTTCACAAAGTAAATAGATGAAAAACACATTGGTCTGGAATTGAAGTTTATCACTGCCTTGAGCCTTAATCTGAATGGGTTTTGATTTAGTTTCTGTCCCAAATTTAGTTTATGTTCCAAAGAGTAGGGCAAAGTTGATACACTATCAAATCATAATCATAAAACGATTACACTGAGCAATTACATTGGCTGTCTACACTGTAGAGGTCAGTTAAGCCAGTGTGTGAAGACAGAGCCTAAAAAGGGCATTAGAACAGAAAGTGGAACACCTGTCTGTCTGAGATAACTCCACATTCCAGAGCAAGGGAGCGGCCTTATGCCTTTCCAGAGAAAGTTCTATGAACTTCTGGGTAGAACTGAGCCTTTGATCTGGGCCTGAAGGTCACCTGATACACCAGTTCAGAGAGCTTTACTTAAACACATGCGAACTCACGTACGCACAGGCACAGGTTGGTGAGCAAAGGCATCATGCAGTTGTTTCTAGGTACCTGCTGTTGTTGGGAGCCTTGGCATGGTCCCTGGTCCCCATGTATTGGGTGTCAGAAATACTAGTGAGTGGAGGCCACTTCTCCTAACTATGGGGAATGCCTGCAGGGTGCCAGTCCAACGTGGTCTCACTGTGGCAGAGGGCAGGGAAGGCAAGAAGTCCACATCTTCCTGCTCAGGCTTAGGCCTCCCCAGAAGACATCCTCTGCCCCAGTGACAAGAGAAGCCAATGACTAAAGATAGATCAGTTCCTTTGATCCTCAAGAGCTCACTCTTCCAAGGAAACAGAAGCTCTTAGAAAGGAGAAGGGATCCAAAGTGCTTGGCATTATTGTTGCTTGTGGCTCAAATATTTTGAAGATGATTTGGCATTCCAAGATGAGAAAATCTTCCACTCAAAGAAATAAAGCTCTACCTCATTCCCAAAGATGTGTTCTTGAAAGAAATCTTTTGCCCAATGTAGGAATTCCCTCATCACTATTTTTAACAGATGTTTGCCTAATCTCTGTTTGAGTACTTCTGAGGATGGGGTGCTCACTTCTTCAAAAACGCTATTCCATTTCTGTGTAGCTCTAATTCTATTGGAAGTGTCTCTCTTGTATTGAACTACACTGTGCCGTCTTCTCAGTAGTTCAGGTCTGGACTCCTAGCATAACACAGAATGGACTCATTATTTTCTGAGCATCTTGAATCTTCAGATATTTTAAACATGACTTCCTGGTGCTTTCTTCTGCAAATAAACTTTCCTAGTTCTTCCAACCTTGTCTCATTAAGATGTGGTTTCTAGACCCTTCTTCTGGATATGCTCAGTGTCTCCCTTAAAGTGTAGCACTTGCAACTGTAGCAGATGGTCTAGAAGTGGTGTGACCACCACAGAGGCAATAGGATTGTCACTGTCCTTGATTTCACCCACCACTCTGCTTTTGCTCATATGACCCAGGCTTGCAGTTGCTTTGAATAGTCGCACACATCCTTGACTCACATAGAGCTGGAGGCCAGCCAGGCCCCACCCAGCTCTTCCCCACTAAACTTCCTGCAGCCTCGGAGATGCATCTGCATGCCCCCTTATCCCAAGGTCTCCCTGTCCCCACTGCATATTGTTTTATTTTACTCATGGGCCTCATTTGCATTTGCAATTATTTACTTATTATCTATTTCCTTCCACCAGGATGTAAGCTCAGGGGAGGCAGTGTTTATTTTCCACTAAATTTGTAGATCCTAATATAGTATTTAGCACATGGTGAGTGCTCAGTATGGATGAATGGATGGATGGGTGGATAGATAAAGCCAGATATTCCCCATACGGTGATTACTAATTGACCTTACATGAGACCTCATATGAAGCTTCATGATTATTTCTATTAAAGTTTTATTGTTGGTTGTGAGTTAACTACAGTGTGTCTATAAAGTTTGAAAACATAGACAAACATATAAAATAAGTGGCTTACTTATAGTACATTATGATATACAATATGGGTCAGTGACATTACATGATATATTTATTCAGTGTACTGTCCTTCATTAGCAATGCACAGTTCAAAGCATTGTAGGAAGTTGCAATGAATATGCTACATTTTAATGCAACATCTCCATCAGTACCTACATATTCATCTGTGATGCATTGCCTCAGATGGTATGTCTCTGATTCTCACCCCAAACAAAATAAAGCAAAACAAATAAAACTGTGCCATTGGCATGCCACAGGAAAATCAAGAAAATCAACTTATACCAAAAAAGTTATCTATGTTTTCACACTTTCTGACCAGTCTGTAGATTGTTGGGTCTTGAACCTTGAGCTTTTGATCTAATTATCTTCTTTCTCAGCTTTATAGTCTCTGAAAGTATATTATTCCGCCAAGCCACTGAAAAAGTCTAGACTTAGAGAAGCCCACAGAACACAATTAGAGATATTCTCTTTCAGGTTGACCTTGAACCTCTAAGCAAAACTCATTCAAACACTGGTCATGTCTCTAGGGTCCCCCCTGTGCCTGGTGCAGAGCTGGACTTTGGAAATCCAGTCCCCGTGGAGAGTTTGCAGGCGCTGGGGGAGGCAGACGAGGAAGCTGTCAGTTGTAGCCAAGCCCCGTTGTAGCATCACTTCCATAGTGACCGCAGAGAGCTCAGAGTGCTTGGCGAGCATGGATAAGGGACTTCTAAATCATATTCGGTGGAAAAGAAAGTTTCCAAGAGGAGGTGCTGTTTGAACAACAAACAGGCAGACAGAGGGGATAAGGAAGGTAACTCCACATGAGGGAACACGGTGGCAAAGGCACAGAAGCTGCAGATAGCATGCCGGGCTACAAACTGTAAGGGGCTCAGAATGTCCACAGCCCGCTACGGGGATCTCCGGATCTCTGAGCCCAGGGCTCACGTGCCTGTGTTGTCAAGGGTCTGAATAGATACAGAGCCAATGATTGATTTGTTTTTGGCTTCAAGATACACGTCTGCCCCTGTCTGTAAAGTAAAAAGCCGATAGAGCCGTTATTTGGCCCGGCATCTATTTCTCAAATCCATGCTAGTTCTTAAAATTCATCTCTTCCTATCTGAACGGCTTAAAGAACTATATTATATGATTCTAAAACTAAATTTTGCCGGACTTACTGGTCCATACAGCAGAAACTATATCTTTCCTTTTTGCATAAATTGGGACATTTGCTGACGACCGTCTTTTGGAACTCTCCGGGTCTCAGTAGTTCAAGTACGCTGGCTCTGCTGTCCTCTCTGCAGTTTGTCTGGGGCCCGAGGATGTGAGCCTGCAGGGCTGGGAGACCTGGACAAAAGGGGCTGAGAGGACGCACCACTCATTGCTACATCACAGCCCCCTTCCTTTAGTGTCCAGGGCTCTTTTAATGATGCTGCTTTGAGTCTTTCCAGTCTGAAGATTATTTTGCTTTTATGGAGAGGTTAGACGTCAGGCAGAAGTTGAATCATCTCACTTTCTCTATCCTCTGTTAATATGCTACCACGATCCCTGAGCAGTGGGCCTCCTCCCTTCTTCAATCATAACAAAAATAATGCAGCACCACTCTCTTTTTTTTTTTTTTTTTTTTGGCCAACTTTAGCATTTTTTTTGCAACCCTCAGCTCAAGTCAGGCACTGTTCTCACAGAAATGTGTCACTCTTCTCAGTTTGTCCTTGGGACTGTGCCCTCCCTTCTATCTTTGTACATGTCCTTTTCTAAACAGAACATGTCATGAAGAACACAATAGCTCCTTTAGATCTGTCCCTGTCCCCACCTCGCCGGGATTAGTCACAATTCGTTTCATCTCGAAGAGTCCACCATCCCTCCTGAGTTTCTCTCTCTCTTTTTAGGGTTCCGGGCCGTGAGCAGCTACCTACTCTCCACATCTAAAAGAATGTGATTTTCTCAAGGGTGGCTAGTGCACCAGGTGCTCTGCTTTAGGTATCAAGCCTTCTTGTAGCCGCTAGGATAGTTGAAGCCCTCCTCACTGGTCTGTCTGGCCCCTGTTCCAGATTGTAATCCAAAATAGGGAAGGTCCCCTACTTCTCCCATCTGCCTGACCGTCTGCAGTGAGCACACCTGCAGCCCATGACACCTGCACGTAAACCAGAGGGTCCTACCTCCTTCCTGTCCCTCTCTATTAGTTCTCTCTCCCTCCAGCAAGATGTACCCCTATGACAGGCCCAAGCTGCATTTAACCAAGTCCCAGTGAGACCTTGGTGGTCATCTGATCTTCTTTGAGTTCATGGGGTTGTTTACTCTTATTTTCTATATTTTTATACAGACACTAAAGAAAAAGGTGAAATCTTCTAATATTAGTGAAGACGCTGCTCGTTGGTCTGAATCTCTTGAAAGTCTCATTCGCTTTCATTACCTTGCTCTATTAACCCACTTTTCTCATTGACGATTGGTTGGGTGAAGTGCTGGCTTTAGAAACAGTGCCGGTGCACCCAGGGTGTATAAATACTCAGGCAGGCAGGTAGTAAGGAAAGTGCATTTTGTTTGTTTCTCTGGCTATATTCTAGGAAAGAATTTGGGCTGGTAAAACTTGCCATGTAAGTGTATGCCCATTAATTGGTCTCTCTGCACTCCATTTGATGTGGAAAAACAGGTTAACAAGCCTGTAAAGAGTCTACGGGACCCCTTGACTATGGGGAGACACGTGTCACTGCGGTCACTCGAGCCATGCTTCTCAGCTTCTTTCCTGTGGCCTTCCTCATTCTCTGCACGTGCCTTTCATGCCTATGGTGCTGATAAGAGCGAGATAATGGAGAGGAAGGAAGAAGGACCGGGAAAGCAGTGAGGGGACAGTCCAGGCACCCAGAGACCCCTGGCACAAACACACACCCAGGGAAAATACCTCTCCCGTCACTGAGAAACCAGATGGGAGCCACGGACCTCCTGGAGACTGCCCCAGGCCTCCCGGATCCCAGTGCAGGCCAGCACTGCTCTGCCTGATGGCAGCCTCTAGTACATTCCGCCTGGGAGAGGGAGTGTAGGGAGGCCATGTAAATACACCCTCTTTAGGGTAAGTCAGTTTCCACTTTCCATGTCTGCAAAAGGTCTCTTAGGACAGGGACTTCTTTAAAAAGTCACCAGTTGACAGTAATGGGATAAGAGGCCTCAGAGGGGGAGGGGACAGTGTTGGCATCTACCCAGCTGTGGGTTCAGAGCCTGGATTCGCTACTTGTCAGCTGAATGACCTTGGACAAGTAAGTTACTTTCTCTCTACTGATTTCCTTATCAAGAAAATAGGGCTGATAAGACGACCTCCAAGGTTGTCCTGACACTGAGTGGTTCTGGGGATCTAGGTGACAACCCCATAGCAAGTGCAAAACCTGCAGCCACTCTCACCACCTCCTCTGTCCTCGCAGCCCTCGTGGGAGGCAGTGCCCCCGTGGGACTGTCCGCCGTGCCGTGGGGCACCTCGGCTTCCACGCGCCTTTCAGGCTGGCATTCAATTGGCAGACTCAGCCTCTCACGTTGGTCTTAATCTGTCAGAAAGCCGCGGGCCCCACCTCTTTACTCCAGGGCTGGGTGTGAGCAATTGAAGTGATAACACTTGGGGGTGCCCAGGACTGTTTTGCCATTTGCATTGAAGTCTTCCCCACACAGGAAGGAGGAACTCCAACATGCAGACTCCAAAATCAATGAAGAGCGGCTTGTACTTCAAGTCGAATATCAGAAAAAGAAATGTCAGTTTTGTTTCCTTAAAGCAATCCACCGCTGTTTTGCTATAGACGTTTTCTTTGTATGATGCAAAAGCTTTGGGAACAGTGTATTCTTTTGAGACATGATATTATCCAATTAGAACATCTCAGGGCCCTATCTTGTTTTATTTCATTTTGTTTGATTTGGCAGCCATCTTGACTGATATTAATATTATATAGATTATGTGAGATATGGAACCCTTCAGACTATTATCCCAAATAGGCTAGAAACTTTTTTTTTTTTTTAAGACTGATCAAATGAAGCAGTGGGAGTGGAGTAGAAACTTCTTGTGCAAGCCATAGCCCGGATTTTGTTCTTCTTGAGCCTCTCTAACCAGCTGGATTCATCTCTACCTGATCTCCCAGGGCTCAGATCCACACTGAAGTCCAGGGGATTTAGGTGCCCCCTTTAGACACTTTGCTTTTTCTCTCTGCCCTTTTTATAAAAGCCTTATCTTCCCTTTCTGCAGGCAGTGGGGCCTCTCTCCAGATAAACAGCTCATCCTGGCTCTGCCAGTCCCGGGTTTTGAAACCTGCTTCTTTGAAGAACTGTTTGCTAGCTTCTGAAGAGTGTTTGTTTTTTATCTCAAGGCTCAGAGACAACTGTGGTCCGGAGTGTCTGTCTGAGACTGTTTCCCCACAAGGATGCTGTCACGTAGATACGCCAACTATCTTCACAAGACACTCGCAGGCGCGGTGTGCGTCCCCAGGCCATTAATGGACCTAGTCTCTGCTGCTCATGCTCATCCCTGGGTTTTGCCTCTCTCTTTTGTCATCAGCTCCTTAAAAAGTCTTATTTAAAAAAAAAAAAAAAAAGCCTTATTGAGAAGGATTCTCAGGCTACACCAAGGCCCAATGGGAAAGTGTGCTGCAGTTGATTAGTGATGTCTGTCCTGAGCACGGTGTGGTCGGCGTGGCCATGTCCTCATATTTGCTACCCTGGCCTAAACTTTTTATAATGTTAGTGCTATGGTGTTCACAGGACTACTGTTAAGAATTTTCTATTTTCCTCTTCGATCAGATGTCTTCTGGACTTGGTAAAATGAGGTCTTTTCCTTAATATGCTAGCTCAGACAATTTTGTTGTTGACAGTCAGCATATACATGTTTCTTGTGGTCTCATAGTATTATTTACTTCTTCTGAGTCCTGGTTATGATACTGTACGTTGCCAGGAAACAGCCATCTGAAACAGTGCTCTTTGCAACATGGTTGTACCCTTCATCCTTCAGCCACAGTTTCAACGGAGATGTGTGGAGTCACCATTTAATTCCCGTCATCCCTTGATTCTTAGAAAGAAACTCTTAAATACCAGCCACACCTCAGTTCCCTCCCTCAGACTGTGTCTTCCTCATGCATTCCTAATTTCCATTTCATTTCTCTCTCTCTCTCTCTGGCCAGCTCTGATATTCATTTCCTAATTAGAGATTATATGAGAATTTCAGTGGTTACTGAAGCCTGGATATTCCTGAAACTGAAAAGAATTTCCATCAAAGGGAAACCTCTAGAGTAATAGGATTAACTAGTGACTGCTGTTTTCTTCATAATTTTCTATATTTTCCAAATTTGTCAATACATATATATTACTTTTATAATCAGAAAAATATTGTGTGTTTTCAGAACAAAAAAATCTAGACTAGTGGTGTTTTAGCCTTTTTTCTTTTGTAAAGCTGCAGAACTCTTTGTTCAAGTCAGAGGGAAACAAATGAAAGAGCAGCTGTTCTGGTTGAAGTGGGGTATGTGTGTGTGTGTTTCTGTGTTTGTGTATGTTTGTATATGTGTATGTGTGTGTATATATGAGTGTGTTTGTATATGCATGTGTGTGCATGTCTGTGTGTGTGCGTGTCTGTGTATGTATGTGCGTGTGTGTGTGTGTATGTGTGTGTGTGTGTGTGTGTATAGGGCGTACCTCCCTGTGTTGCTAAATAACCCGACTTTCTTGTCTGGGCAGTCTTTGCCTATCACATAGGAAATCGTGCCTGGCCCAGAGCTGCCCTCTGCTATTACAGAGTCAATGCCTTTCAGCAAAGGGCCCGCCAGGTCTATCTGGCACCAGCCCTTGTGAGTAGCTCCACCGTTTCTGGGCAGGGACATTCCTTTTGTCTGTCAGTTAACAGACTGTACTTTTCTCCCGTATTCTCCAGGGACTCTGCCCGCAGGAGGGTGAGGGATGGGAGAAAGAGAGATCATGTCACAGATAGTTACTTTTTCAGGACAGCCTTTTTGGAACAGATTGTGATTCTCTGAGAGGTCCTTGGCAGGACCTGAACTCCTGCCGCCCGGAGCCTCGTGTTTCAGATGGTCCAACTGTCTCCTGTGGGGACGCTCTGAAGGCCTCTCCATTTCTGGAAGGACCACTCTCCCACATTCCCTAAAACCGGCTGTTTCGTTAAGGATCGTGTGGAAGAGGGAAGGTACTAAGTCATGCATGTGCCAGGGACACAGGGGAGGCCAAAGCGCCACACCTCTTGGTGCTCCTGCCCCCCACTCCCTGTGTGGCCCTTGTGTGGCCACCAGTCTTGTGGTGAACTGTCTTTGAGCCTAAAGGTTAAGGAGCCAGAATGGAGCCTTTTGTAACAGCTAAGAAACTCTCCTCTGTGAACTACTAGCTGCTCTCTGCAATCTTCCAGGAACACAAGATTTGAGGAAGGTCTGTATTTGGGGGCGTGTTGGTTGAAAGCCACCAAATTAGCATGGCCAGATGTCACAGGGGGGCAGTTAACACGGTTGCTAAGAGCTCTAACTTCAGGGCCAGATTCCCTGGATTTGAAACCACCTACTGGCTGTGCCGCCCTGTCCAAGTTATTATAACACGACACCCACTCTAAGCATCAGCTCTCCCATTCTTAAAGAGGATGGATGGTGCTGGTACCTCACTCCTGGGAGCCTGTCGATCCTCAGGATTAGCTGAGACTATGCATGTGAACCGTTTTGTGGAGTCCTGGTAATGGTTTGATATGTGTGTGCTGTTGCTATAATTATGTCTGTGGTCTTGCTCACACGGCTGCCTCATCTCTCCACCTTCCTGGGAAGGTTCGGACCAAAGTTCTGAATGCTTACGAGGAAAGACAGATAAAATGTTGCCCCATTTTGGTGGCTTTGCTTTGTAATGGTGAGTAAACTGGTAGTGGGGGAGCAAAGCTCTGAGATACTGAGGACCCTGCATGCACCAAGACCAGCTGCCACCTGGGCAAGCAGAAGACAGGGTTTGTAAGCCAGCAGGTCACTGGTGTCACCTCTACAAGGACAACTGGAACCCTTTCTCCACCTCTAGAAAGACCTATTTATAAACTTGCCTGGGGGGGGGTGAGCAAGATCTGTTCATAGAACTATTTTGGCTACCATTTCTTGAGGACCAACTTATTTTAATGCTGGGCCTTATCCATACATATCCTCTTCTACTCACACAATCCCTACAAAGATGCAATTATATTCATTTCTCCAGATCACAAAACTGAGGCTCTTAGAGGAAATCTGTCAATGGCCCATAGCTAAAAAGTGAGAGAGCTAGTGCCCAAACCTAGTCCTTTGAGACTCCAAAACCCACCTGCTTTCTAGCACCCAGAATTCCTTTTCTCTTACTATTTCCCTAAAAGTACTATGGAGCAATAGTTTTCCACCAACTTTAGGCCTTTAGCATAGGGCCATGTATTGAAAAGAGCTCCTGTTAAAACATCCTGTTTTTCTGTCAGAAAAGGTGAGTTTTCCAAACGTTCCAGATGTACAGCCATCCCGGGTCTTGACCCAACCACAAGCTGCCTCTCAATTGGGCCACCAGTGCCCCACTCACCTCACTCTTTTCTGGACACTTGCTCCAGGGCAGACGTGAATCGGCCATGCTCGCAGGTCAACTGCATAAACACTGGCCTTTCCTGGAGACTGCCAGAACTATCTCGAAACTGTGACACCCAGAGGGGTCACTGCCCCCCACGCCCTGAGACTGGCAAGTGGGATGTCTGAGGAACCGGACGGCCGTGCACCTGCTCTGGAGCTCCTTCCTCGGGATCTGAGATGGACAGGCTGGAGAAGACATCTCATCACCCATCAGCTCCCTCAAGGTGACCTTGGCCTCCCTTGCTATGGGCCACCCTCTGCCCTGGGCCCTGGTGGAGCACGCGGGACTGTGTGCAGGCTCTAACTCAGAAGAGTGCTTCTGCTTTTTTAATGCGGATAGGAGGCCTCCCGTTCTTTGCTAATAACACCTGGTTGTTAACAGCATCTTCTTGCCCTCGCCTGTCTCTAGCATCTCTCTCTTTCCCTCCCTTCCATCTCTGGAGAAGCTATCAGAAAACCATATCTTGCCTTTGACTTCCTTTGTGCTGATTCTACTTGCGTACTGATCCACCTTGCAATGCCTTATCTCCTAATGTTTCAACTTGTTGCTCAGGGGGCCCATACTTTTTCATTTTTTTAATGAAAAATAATCAAAGTTTTATGATTTCTAGGGTTGTCTTCTCCTCCTAAAGGATATTCATTCCTGTGGCCTGTCTTAATCTGTCTTCTTGCAACTCCCTTGATCTCTCTTATCATCAACTATTTATTTTCAATAAAAGTTGCTTCATGAAGCTTCCTACTATCTGTCCAGGTTCCAGCTTTTTGACAGTGTCCTACCGGACCCACTTGTCGTGTCACCCGCTGCCCTTCTGGCATTCCCTCTTAGCTGGGGTGGGCCAGTCCCCAGAGTGAGAGTCAGTTGGGGTAACCCAGTTTCAGGCCTTTAGGAGTTCACGGTCTGTCTTGACTTAATGCTCCTCCTTTGAGGCCTAAGCCCTTGGGACATTTGGATCTAAAAGTAGTCATTTGTTTCACAAAGTAGTCAGTTGAGGTTCTTAAAATGTATTTTCCTCTGTGCTCTTTGAAATCATTCACCTTACAGTCATTCAGTAAATATTTACAGAGGGTCTATTTAATACTTTGTGCCATACCTGGTCCCTATTCTCCTAGAGCTTACAGTCCAGTGGGAAAGAGAGATGAGTTGATCAAGCACCCACACTAAAGCATGTCAATTTCAGGCTTGAACGTGTTTGAAGGAGAGGCACACGGGCTGTGAAAGTGTGTAGTGCTCTTGGGCAAGTGGTTCTCAAAGTGTGGTTCCCAGACCAGCAATATTAACATCACCGGTGAACCTGTTAGAAACACAATTGTCAGTCCCTACCTGAGAAACTCAAGAGGGGAGGGGTATCCAGCATCTGGGTTTTAACACATCCCAGGGAGACAGTGATGCACTCTCAGGTTTGAGAACCTCTGTTCCAGGTGGTCAAAGAAGGCTTCTCTGAAGAAATCACTTTAGGGTTAGGAAGGAAGTTGGGGAACAGGGTGGGGTAGAGGAGGAATTATTTCAGACAGAAAGAATGGCATGCGTAAAAGCCCCGTAGTCAGAACAGGGAGCTTTTGAAGACCTAATGGAGTACCCTAAGCCAGGGAAGAGCGATGCAAGATGCATCTGACCGGTGCCCATGGGCTGGAATAGGCAGGTGATGGAGACCTCGTAGGACTGGGCCATAGGAAGTTTCTGATGTGCTTTAAACACAGAGGTGACATCATATTATTTGCTTTTATTTAAAGGATAATTCTAGCTGTAGTGTAGAGAAAGGATTGAAGAAAAGCAAGAGTAGAGGTCCTTGCAGGGGCTTGCCGAAGGGCAATAGTAACTTGAACAAGGGTGTTCTGGGGGGCTGGAAGGAAGGATGCACAGTCCCAGGATTCTTAGGGCAAATCCACAGGTCTTGTTCATCGAGTGGAGGTGTCGGGGGGACTCTGGTGTTTTGGGTTTACGTGCAAGGTGGAGGGTAGCGAGCCAGTCTTGGCAATGGAAAGGGATATGAGAAGGTCCTGTCGAGACTGAGTGACTTTGAGCCACTCAAGTGTAGATAGCAGGCAGGTGGGGGAAGGCACACTGGAGCGCAGAGAAGTCAGGGCTGGAGATGCATTTGTCACCATCGGCAGCTAAGCGGCAATTGAATCTGTGGGCGGGGATGAGTCACCTTCAGAGAAAGAATGGAATGAAGGGAAGAAAGCCCGTGAGGCTCACTGAGCAACTTCAACACTCGTGTCTAATGGTCGGGTGAAGGATGATGACCCCATCAAACAAGCGGAGAGGAAACAGTCAGGGAGAAGGAGAAAATCTAGAAACTAGGAGACTTCGTGTCACAGAGGCCAGGGGAAGAGTTTCCCCAGGGAGTGCTCAGCGGGTGGGTGGGGAGGAGGCAGGAGGCTCGGGAGGCAGAAGAACACAACAGTTGCCCTGAGACACACAAAGGTCATTCCCGACTTCAGCAAAAGATGTCTCAGCAGAGGAAGCCGGTAGAAGCCAGAATGAGGCAGATATAAGCAGGACTAGCAGGTAAGAAAGTGGAGAAAGTGAGTGTGGACAGCTCTTTAGACCTGCTGGTGAGGAGGAAGACAGGGCCAGGAGTCGCAGCGTCAGGTGATGGCCCCTGTTTGTGTAACTTGGCAATGGCCCTGCGAGCCTGTTAGAGCCTGAGGACTTCACTGAAAGGGGACATTGAAAAAAAAGCAAAATGTGACCCAGCACAGGTGGAGAACCTGCAGCTTCGGGGCCACACGTGGCCTTCTGGATCCTTGAGTGTGGTCTTTTGACTGAACCCACATTTTACAGGGCAAATCCTTTGAATAAAGGACCTGGAGGGCCAACCTGTGGCCTTGAGGCCGCAGGTTCCTAAACACAGGCGGGAGGGGGCCCAGGCCTGTCTGTTCTGGCAGGTCCTGTGCTGGCTTGGACTTTTCCAAACCTCCACGACCTGCCCTGCCCAGGGCCCGCTCCCCCAGCCCGGGGTGCCTGCCGCCCGCCCTTTCCCGGCACCCCTGCCCACCGCCTGCCTGCCCGCAGCCCTCTCGGCTGTTTTCTCAGCTTTGTTCACCCACTGTTAAGTTATTAACTTGTCAGGGTCTAGACTCCCCGCTTCCTTTCCCTCTTTGAACTCCCTGTTGGCTCTCTTCCCGCTCGCCCTGTCGGAAAGTCAGCATTCGCAAGGCCGGGCCGCGCTGCGGGTCAGTGTTGGCAGGCACACAGAATCACAGCTCAGAATCTAGCTATAAACTGTGCAAGGCTTCTTAAAGACATTGATACAACTGAAAAGGAAATAAACACAATCCTCTCACCATTATCTTAGACGTGGATGCAAACGGTGAATTTAAAATAGATTTTATTCAAAGTAATTTCTCCAAGAGGGTTTGGTGTTAAGGGGTCACGTGTAAACCTGTTAGGGACCATCAGATTCTTACATGTTAATTCATGGATTCACTTAGGATCCAGAATGATCTTTAATTGGTTTTTAAAGTGGACTCAAAGCACTAGGTAAACTGTTTTCATGTAAGTGTTGCTAATCTGAGACATGCAAATTTTGTCAGATTCTTTAGGGAGATTTGCAGCAGTTCCTTAAAAAGAAATGAGTGGTTTTTATCATTACATAAAACTGTCAAAGTCGTAAATTAACTTAATACAGGTATGACAGAGGGAAATACAGACTGTTTCCTATTTGTTGACCTGTTTCCCTCTGGTCTAAGGGCCAGGGTAAGTGAGAAGTGATGTTTTTGAGCATCTACTTATTATCATATTTATTCCTTGCCATCCTTGAGGTACTTATTATCTACAATTTTATCAATTAGAGCGGGGCTCAGAACTGAGTAGTAATTTCCAAAGTTCACACCTTTGTAGGGTGGTAGATAGTACAAGTGCTGGTCTTCACGCTCAGCCTCGGAGAAGCAGCAGCCACTGTTGTAGTCACAGTGATGACAGCGGTAGCTCCCGGGTGTCGAATTCTCAACATCTGAGCACCCTTCCTATACGTCATATGGCTTAATCCCGTGACAGCCCTGCAAGGACCACGATCCTCATTTTACAGAACAGGAAACAGCCTCAGAGAGGGTAAATTATTCCCAGCTATTCAGTGATGAGCTGGGATTCAACCCAGTTCCATCTGACCCTAAGATTCTGCTCTAAAGTCGGCCTGTTTTGTTAAGATTGGGGATGGTTCCCTCATTCCAAGAACGAAGTGTGAGGCATGGAAGCTGTAAAATATCTTTTGCCTAATGTTGAATATGCAGCTGCCTCCTGGCCTTCCTATTGAGCCAGAATACAGAATGCCTACATTTTTGCTCCTTGTCGGTCTTGGTAGGGGAGGACAGAAATGTCAGCTGTATCTACGAGCTTATAAATTTTGGTAGCATACTTTCTCTTCCATCTAGCAACTGCCCTTGTCATGACCCACCCAAGAACCCCAAACGAGCCAAGAAAACCTCTGAGCACAGCCAGGATTAAATAGCACGCGTTGTTGAACTAAGTCCTTCACTGCATCTGCAGATGAGTCCCTCAGACACGCACGGAACAGATTGACTCGGATTCGACTCGTAATTCTAACAGTCTGTTTCCAGCTCAGTCTACAGCAACAAAATCAGACAGGGCCCACTGCAGACAGGTGTAGTACCACTAGAGATGCAGCAGAGGTGAGAAGAAAGAGATTTGAAAAAAAACAACAAGAAGCAGAAAAGAAAGCCCAGGTACAGCTGACCAGAGCTGTCTGGGGTCAGGTGGGACATATGCGTCCTCTGTGGCAATGCCACAGCAAGCCTCAGCAGTCACTGTTGTTCCTTATGGCGACACTGAGCACTCATGAAAGGTAACATTAGATCATGTTTGGTATCTCCAGTTTAGGAAGGCAGTGATGATGTGTACAGTGTTGTTTGTTTGTTTTTAAGGGGGGGAGCCCAAAGTGCACTAGTGCTTTGTCTACCCTTAAAATCCAGCTTTCCAAGAAAGATTCCTCAGGGCCCTGTGTGATATTTCTCCCTGAAGCACAGTGCCTGGTATGTAGGGCGTTGTCGCTAATGTTAGATGATGAGATATTGAGTGACTTTTTTTTCCTGAGGATTCCAGATATAGTCCAGGGTGACTCCATGGAGGAGAGAAGGGGTAAGACCCCCGAGAGCTCAGCATGTATTCTGTTACGCATGTGATTAAATGAGATGATACCATGCCTCCCTTCCAAAACAAAATCACTCGGTACATGGTAGTTAATCTTATCAGCCTTATCATGGCCTTTGCCAATATTGACCAACCGTTGCTCCTTGGGGAAGATATAAAAGAAGTCAGAGCCTTCCTCTGCTGGGCCACATTTGAAGCCCGTGGTGACCAGGCTGGGAGCTACTAACCAGCCGTCGTCAGCGCGGGCAGGGGTCCTGGGAGTTCTCTGTGGGCTTACAGCTCTCCACCCCTTGACGAGCCCAGGCAGTAAAGACTGAGCCCTGAATAAATCAGCCCTGTGTCCAGGAGAGACAGCACATTCCAGAGAGTTGCAGGCGGCTGCAGGATCCACGTGCGTCCTGGGGGGCCTGCTCTGAGCACCTGGCCTGCCTTCCCAGCACAGGGCTGGCGGTTTTACAGGTCACAGGCATTTTGAAAAGGCAGACTCGCTGACCTGTTTAACGAGTGCAGTTTCTGCACGAAAGCCCATCTCCCTCTCTCTGGCAGGCAGACGCAGAACATTTGCTAGGGAAGGGGCCAAATCTCTCAGTGCCAGAGGGATTTCTGGCCCTAACTGCTGGTGGAATTAGCAGGAGTTATCTATAAATCCCTGAGGCATCCATCAGCAGACAGAGCAAGGCTGCCTCTTTAAAGAAGTTCACTGACCTCTTGTTAACTTAACTCCTTGTTAGGAAATATCTAATCAGCTGTGAGCTGGGGCATCAGGGCCTAGGGGTCGCAGAAGCCAGGCTCGCTGTGGGCTGGGCTTCCAGCTGTGTGCTGTCTGGTGTCTGCCCTGACTGTTTTGTTTTCCTCTTGCAGCTATCTTTCAGATCATTCAGAGCATAAGGATGGGCATGTGAGGAGGCCAGGGAAGGCTTTGATTCAGCCGGTACCTGCAGGAAGCAAAAAGGCGGCAAGGAATAGAAAAAAGGCTCACTCAGTCTTTCCCTGATCACTTCATCTTGGATGTCAGACCAAATTGCCTTCTCACGGGACATCTTGGTGCATCCGGGTCCTCAAGCGGAAAGGACATTTTGCTTTTCTGTTGGCCGGATGGGTAGCGGCGTGGGTCATCCACGACAGTGCCGTCCTTTTGGTTTCCCCTTGGTTCACTAATGTATGCATGTGGCCCTCTGAACGATCGCTGGTTTACTTTCTACAGATACAGTCTCTTCTCTACTGGGAATTGGTTTTACAAATAAATGTCTTCGTTCAACCTTATACGCTTGTGTGTGACAGTGAGAAAGCCGAAGTGAAGAAAATAGCAGAATAGCTCAAGCGAGGTTGAGGCAGGTGGGGGAGCCTGGTTCGGCATCTGGAAAAGGGCGGGAATCTGAGGCTGGGGACCGCAGCTAAATCCACCTGGCAGGTCCCTGGCCTCAAGGTCAGAGAAGCCCTGGGTGCTCTAATGACCTTGGGTTTTCTACACTTTTGACTCTTCTTTTACACATATGTGTTTGTCTTGTTTTGTTTTTGCTCTCTTTCAGTCCAGAAAAGGCGCACACAATGTGTGTGAAGGTCTGATTAGTCGGTATCTCCCCTGTGGTCCTGCCTTGGGGCTTCCACAGAGCAGAGGTCCCAGGCCCAACCTCGGCCACCACCCGAGGGCTCTGGGCAGAGTGGGAGCCCTGTATCCTTGGGGATGGGTGGGGAGGTTGGCCATCAGGATGGGGCCGAGGCCCTCCTTTCCTTGGCCAGCCTTCCTACAGCCTCTCACAGTGTGCTGTCACCAAAGGAAGTTACAGTGACAGCCACAGCATGGCGGGCAGGGGTAGACATGGACACCCTGCAGCTTTAAGCATGGCTTTTTTGTTTGTTTGTTTTAATTCCATCTTTGCATTGAGCATTTTTTTTTTCATTCCTTGACTTTGTGAGAGCTTCAAAAAGGGAAATGGAGAAGTGGCCAGACCTCTCTGGACGGCGTTAGGGTTTGATTGTAAGTGGCACCATTTGACTTAAGGGGCTTTCTGTGCACTGGAGTTTTTCACCCTAGACCCTTCGGTGATGTTCTTTAATGCTTACTTTTCTCCCACCCTTTGGGAATTCCCCTCCAAAAGCACCCCTCTGCCCTCCTCCTGCTTCCTCCCCACTGCTCCAAAGTTAGCAGCCCCCAGCCCCTCCCAAGGTGGCAGAAGACATTCCCTGCCCACTCAAGGGCAGCACACAATACATGCTCTGCGAGCTCATCCCCTCATCCTGTTGGCCTGTCGTCATCTTCTAAGTCACCGATGAGAGCAGTGTGCAGTGAAAGATCAGTCCCCAAGGCTCCTGCCCAGGGCCCAGGAGCCCTGCTGTCTGCCAAGAGGCAGAAGAAAGTCCCCTTCAGGATACCCGGTCTGTGCTCCCACACACACCCTGACCCCCCAGCTTGCCTACGCGTGATTAGAATGCAGGCCTCCTCTTCCTCCCCTAATGCCAATAAAAGCACACCCACCAAACCACTATAAAGGCCATCACCCGGCTTGAGCTTTGTTGAGACAGTATGTTTTGTTCCCTAATTTTGCCTTTCCTGTAGGGCAGCTATCCCCATCTCAAGGAAAGTGAAACTGAAACCTGGCCAGAGTGGCTCTGGATAGCCCCAGCTTATTCCCAGGTAGCGGACCTGGTGGCTGAGTTGGCTGCATGCCATCAGCTGCCAAGGTTGATCTCCTCTCCCTGGGCTCTGCAAGTATCCATAAATTGGTTCTCTGTTAGTGTCCAGGTAGCCTCCCTCAAGTACTCATAGATGGCAGTCTGCCCTCCCAGGTGACTTCTTCCTCAGTCGTCTGCAAGCAGAGATGAGAGCTAAGTTAGGGGCATCATTGCCGCATGCCGTACAGCAGAGACTACAGCATTTTCCCTGTGACAACCCAACGCACGACGCACCCCCCAAAGCAAGAGTTACAGAACGACACAAGTGTTATTTCTCACCACACGTGACACACTCTCATATTTTATTGTCTACTTGTTTTTAGTACTGGTTTCATAACCCATGACTAGGCTTCAACACTGCTCTTCAGAAGAAAACCAAGTCCTTACTAGGGGACAGGTGGGCAGGGCTCACAAGGCAAGAAAGTTGCAACACACTTCGCATCCTGGTGAGAACCTGAAGTCCCCGTTGCAGTCACGGCCAATCAGGAGCTCCGATGGCACTTGATAAGGGACTTCTTTTGGGATTTAAGGGTTATTGGCAGGTTCTGCAGAGGAAGCTGGTGGCCCAGGTGAGCCTGTGGATCTAGCACCACCTTGAATCCACTGAAACTCTGAAATAAATATCAGGTTACATTTGTCAGCGTTCACTGGCTGGGAGTCACAATCACTTAGATGGCAGTGGGGAGTTCTCCAAAGTAGGAACCCACCCCAAGCCTGCTACAAATCAAACTCTCCGGGGAAAACGTGCATGCATGTGCATTTTGCATATGTATTTTTTTTAAAGATGCTCAGATGATTCTGATACTGCCTAGCCACCAGTGAGCATTTGGGAACCGATTCGCCACCAGACTTAGTTTAATTAAACCAAAGCAGAGACCCAGAGGCAATGCCCCACACCTATCACTGCACTCGTTCTGAGCTGGAGCTTCTCCCTTCTTTGACGTCCTGAAGCATGTTGGGGGCTCCGCAGGGCTCGGGGACACGACCACTCTTCCTGGGAGGGCCAGTGCCCAGTGCATGTGCTCCCTGAACTCACAGGAAACGCCCTCAGACATGGGGGCTGCACTTCGTTACAAGACGATTCACATCCTATCCAGACACAAGAACATCCTAACGTAATAGTAATTCTTCCACCCTTGGCCCCCAGAGCTTTGGAGGCAAAATGTCATCTCAGTGATGTCCTTTGTCCTACACGAGTCATCATCAGGCTTCAGCTGCGAGCTGTGACAGTATATTAACAGCTCTTGGCAGCAGGTCTCTTTCTTTAAGAAATCGTTAAGTCCCAAGGCCTCATCTGCCAGCCGTGGGCCATGACTTCCTTTCCGGGGATAAGCAGGCTTTTTCTGTAAAGGTCTAGATGGTAAATATTCTGGGCTTTGGGGCCACGTGGTCTCCAGACTATTCAACTGTGCTGCTGTATCTTGAAAGTAGCCATTGACCACACATAAATGAATGGCCGGGGCTATGTTCCAATAAAACTTAATTTAAAAAACAGGCGAGGCTTGCAGAGCTATGCCAACCCTTACTCTAAAGCAGCAGTTCTCAAATTATGGTTCTCTCCTCCCCTAGACTCATCAGCATCCCTTGGGAACTTGTTTGAAATGTAAATCCTCAGGCCAAACCCAAATCGTGGGTTTTAGAAGCCTTCCAGGTGATTCTCGTGAAAGCTGGGAGTTTGGAAACCACTGCTCTTGGTCTGGTCCAGACCTGTCTGCTCTGGGGAGTTGCCACGGTTAGCCTTACCCCCTACGTGCCTCTGCCCTTCATCCCTCACAAACTAAGTATACCTTAGGACTTAATTTACTATTACGGGCCTAGAGTTTTGGTCTCTGCTTGTCTCGTGTCTCTATATTTTTTCTCCCAATTAGATTGAAACCCCTTGAAAGTAGAGTCTGTATCTTTGACTTTCGTCTCTACTTCCATCACTGCTTCCTTTTAAGCACTTAATAAAGGCAGGAAGACCTTCACCTTTATTATAATAGCTTTTTGGATCTTAGAAAAGATAGTTATAGGGCTGGGTGCAGTGGCTCATGCCTGCAATCCCAGCACTTGGGGAGGCCAAGGTGGGAGGATCACTTGAGGCTAGGAGCTTGAGACCAGCTTGGGCAACACAGTGAGACCCTGTCTCTACAAAAAATACAAAAATAAGCCAGGCATGGTGGTGCACACCTGTAGTCCCAGCTACTCAGGAGGCTGAGGCAGCAGGATTGCTTGAGCCCAGGAGTTTGAGGTTATGGTGAGCTATGGTCACACCACTGCACTCCAGCCTGGATGACAGAGGGAGACTCTGTTTCTGAAAAAAGAAATCACAGGATATGTTTTGCCTCAGCCAGTTCCGGGGTCCTGCATGTGACTCTTCCCACAGTCTCAATCTCCACTCTTGGAGCCACACCTAGGGGGCTGGGAAAAGGGAGTTGGGGGGAATGGTTTGGGGATGATAGCAGAAATTTGTTCAGGTCCAAAAACCTGTATTATTTCCATATGGGGAAAGGGCTTATTTCCCCTTGTTTTTAATCTGGCTATTACCATTTTGATAAACCATGTTCAGACTGGATAAGCTAGAGGTGTCAAGGGCAGGTGAGAGTAGAACAAAGGTAGATTTCTGGTGACAAGGTGCAAATAGGATTGTCAGCCAGCAAGATTCACAGGCAGGAAAGGGCTTATCTTGGGAGCTCAGTCAGGGCGGGGAGCAGGTCGTGCTGGGGTGCCCCACCCCTCCCTGGACTCCCAGGCCGAGGGCCCCCCAAGGCGCCAGGAGCACGATGGCACCTTGGGCAAGCCAGCAGCATCCTGCATCTCAGCCCCTCCCCTCCACACTGGCACTTAGTGGACGATCTGAGTTTCCTTCAAGGAAGTCAAGGCTGGCAACATGGCGACGACACAACACATACCTGCATATTAGACATACGTCTACAAAACCGGTGTTTGCTGTTTCTTCTGGAAGGTTAAAATTTGGAACATAAAGGAAGAAGAGAGGTTGCTGACATTGTTCCAAGCTCTACATAGGGGATCCCTGGGCTTTCCAGTGGGGACACGTTGCATGTGCTCCCGGCCTGTGCCGACGCAGCTCCTGTCTGGTGCTTCTGTCTTTCAGCAAGTGCTGCAAATAGGCAGAGGACGGCGAAGGAACACAAATGCTCCCCTGTGAATCAGGGCCATTCTCGGTCGGCCGCCCGACTTGTATTTCAGGGGACCTCTCTCCAGCTCCCGGTCGCCCAGGCTGGCCCGCAGCCCTGAGAAGGGCCGGGCTTGGCTCCAGGAAAGGCGGGATCCCGTTCAGGCCAAGCGAGACCCGTAAGATGTCTCCCTGTTTTCTAATATCGGGACAGCCTCCTGAAATCATCATTTATTTGCGTTGGGAAAGATTCCTGCTGCTTCCCAACCTGGCCCACCTCCCCGGGGGCTGAGCTGGGGAGAGTTGCTGATGCAATAACCCAGCTCGGCTTCTGCTGCCAGTTGCAGCGGGCGGGAGGAAGCCGGCGCGGGAGGTCAAGGCCGGCCAGCCGTGCAAAATAGTCTTCACGCAGCAAGGAAGCCACCCTTGACAATATGTCCCCAGGGGCTCTGGGGACCTCTTTATGCCTTTGTCT